AAAGGTGTTGGCCACCAAGCTTGACAACCTGAGGTGGAAGGAGAGAACTGACTCCCTTAAGGTGCTCTTTGATCTCTACTAGAGCATGTAGCAAACAATACAACCAGGATTTGAACATCTGTCTTTGTGGCTCCAACCACACTATTAACCACCCTGCTAGGCTCTTTAGTACTCATCAAGTTTCCAATTGTCCCTTTAATTGTTATTATTTTCTCAGTGCTGAATGAGAAAAGAAAAATAACAAGGCAGAAGGGTTAAGTTGAAATATAGGAATTCTCTATCACCGTCTACATACCAAGGGGCTCTGGTGAGTGAGGTTATATCTGCAAATATCCTGAAAATAGAATATGATGTAGGGGAGACAGATTTCTACAGGGGTGATGAGCATAAATACAAGTAGTATGATGCAATGTGTTATTGTTGTATATAATTTTAATAGGGGAAAACACGTACTGGATAGAAATCAAATGTCTTCTGCTTGGTAGGTAGGGCCAGATTGATTAAAGTTTTAACAAGAAGCATGTAGTTCATATGAGAGAGTCAATGAAAGAGTCCTTTGAGGGATACTAAGGATGGTGATGGCAATGTAGCCTGACACTAGCCACAGTGCAAGGAGTATCAGCCTTAAGACTAAAGAGACCTAGTTGGTGGAGGGAATGCAACTAGATTTCAGGGAGAAATGACATCATTGAACAGAACTCACTTGACGAAGGCTGTACTCATGGGGAGGTACTGTTACGACTGTACCCAGGGCCTGAATCTGGAGCCAGAAAAGAGGAAATCCCCTGATTTCATTCTGGTCTAAACCAGATGCCAATGTAACAGGGAATGGGGGCAATAGACACGAAAGCCTTGCCTCCCAGGGGAAGCAAGGGTTTGAGCAAAGAGGTCAGGAGTAGCTCTGAGCAGGTGACTTGGTCTCTGTTCTGGTATTTCCAAGGTGGTTTATTGCTTATCACATTAATAGCTAACTTTCCCATTCCTACTTCCAATGTTTATGTTAGAACACTCCAAACTTAACAAAACATGTTTAGAAATGGTTTCATGAATACAAACACACACATTCATTAGCTTTCTTCATAATTCATAAAAATTGTCACTATTGCTTTATTCCTTTTCCTCTTTGATTCCAACACACATGAGCTAACATCACATGCGACTGTGTGTGTGGCACACACACACACACACACACACACACACACACACACACACACACTTGTGCTCAACCAACTGTGAGCTAACATCCTTAGAGTTAATAGTAAAATAGAGTTACTGCCATATACAGTCCCTTCTTATATTGCCCGTGATCAAGGCTCACATATCCAATCCTCAGCACATTTTCACCTTCCTCTTTAGTATAATTGTTTTCCAGGGTTTTCTTTTTATCATTGCTCAAGACATTAACTTTTAAGTGAAAGCATGATTCCAGGCCAAGTGTTTTGTGAAGCACAGGTTTCACTAACAATTTCTCCAGCGTTAGACTCAACACAAATAGCCTGGCAATGCCGCTGCAGAGATATCTCGTACTCCTCAGTTCCCTGTATCTAGAGGCACGTGATTTCAGAATATTCCATCATGAGTGTGTGCACTATCTACTAAACTCAGTTACTTTTTACCAGTTTACCAGTCCAGTCATCTAGTGAGTGATATATGCGAATATCTTTTCATCAACATTTTTTCACACATGCTGTTTTACAGTCATTGAACTGTTTTTTGCAGCGACAGAGATAGTTTCATAGAAGCAACATTAAGAAATCCTTTGAGGTGCTTTATTATTACCTTCATCGTTTCCAGTGTTAACCTGTTTTTTATACACTCATCAACATTTGCAGAGTGTTCATTTCAAGCCTTGACCTGTGGAATTTTCACCAGTGTTTTCATGGTTGTCTAAGATGATGTCTTTGGATCACACCTCTTCCCTTGAAAGAGCCTTGATAAATGGAAGTCATTGCCTGGGGAATGGTAGGCTCTCAAGGTAACAGCTGGCAAGTCTTCGTAGTGGGAATCAAATTTAGCACTCTGACTTCTTTGTATACTATAATGGGGGATGTGATAAGTCAGCTAACTCTAAGGCCTTGCTTTATTCCTATATTAAATGGGAAAAGTGATGATCCTTATTTTATATGGTTATTATGAGGCTTGAGTGAGATAGAATGAGAAATATTTGACAGTTTATGACCACTGCACTTGTGGTGGTTAGTGTTAATCATCCACTTGATAGGATCTGGAATCACCTAGAAGGCAAACATCCAGGAACACCTGTGAGAGATCAATTAGTCTCAGGGCATGCCTGTGAGGGATTGTGTTGATCGGGTTAATTGTGACCAGAAGCCACTTCAAGGCCCTGCTGCCTTGACTACCTTACTATAATGGGCTATAAGCCTTGAATTGTAAGCCCTGAACTGTAGGCCCAGATAAGCAACTTTCCCCTTAAGTTACTTTTGTCAGGGTATTTTATCACAACAACTGGAAAAGAAACTTTGGACCATCGTTCCTCCCAAGCCACATGCCTTATGCTCCCTGAAATCTCTGCCTTTATTCAATGACTACAGATTAGGAACCTTGTCTCCAAAGCTATCATTACCTTTGAGAGACAAGGGGCTAAAAAGCTATGCTCCACAGGCCAAGTCCAGCCTCCATTTGTTTTCATGAATAAAGTTTTATTAGAAAGCAGCCACATACATATTTAAATGTGGTCTATGGATGTTCCCACCCTAAATTTGAAGAACCAAGTAGTGGCAACAGACTACATGGTTTGCAAATCAGAATAGATTTACTGCATGTTCTTTACATGAAAACTTTGAGAATTCTGTTGTTTGGTGGTATTGTAGTAGTCTCCTGTCTAATTACATCTCACCCCTTCTTGAACCCATTCTTCCTTTCTTTCTGGGCCAGAAGAAAGTTTTATGAAGTTTTATCTCAGTTGTGCTGATGGCCTTTTGTGTTTCACTGGCTCTTGCAGAAGCATCTGCTCCTACCAAGTCCTCTGAAAATACTGTTTTGTCTGAATGCACTCACCCCTTAATTTTTGTCCTCAGTAATAAGTCCAGGTTTTCACCCTCTAAGAAGGCTTTTCTGGTGTCCACAGCTGAACCAATGGCTTCTGCTGGTCAATGTCTGTGTAACATTTCAGCTCTATCCTCTATCTCATTTTTACTCTGTCGTGATTATGATGAACTATCTGCCACTGCCACTGCTGTGAGCTCACCTAGAGGATAGGAACATAGATTTTTTTTTTTTCACTTTTAAAGTCTTTAGTATCCAGTCTGTGACTTGACCCACAATAAGTGCAATTAGGTTGTCATGGCTTCTTAGGGGAATATAGAAAAGAGACATATCACAGGAGGCTTCTTAGGGTGTTGGTAATTCAGCTAAATACTAGAGGATGTGGAAAGGAGAACATGAAATAATAGGCGCAGGAAGCTTGTTTAAATGTGGTAATACCTGAAAGGAGCATGTTGGAAATGACATGCAGAAAGAAAGGCATGTGCGAGAGAATGCAAGAAGAGGCTATAAAGGAAACACACAGTCCCTACTCTACAGAGTCTCTTCTGATGGTGTGTAGAGATGGCAGGAAACCACAGAAACACTGGAACACACACCTGTCTCTGCCTTCCAAGTTCTGGGGTTAAAGACATGCTCTGCCATGGCAGGCAATCAACTATGTTTTTATCTTGTCATCATCCAGTCCAGAGTCTCTCTCTGCGTGTTATAGATTCTCAATGAACATCCCTTTCATTCTTGAACTATAGGAGAGTTCAATGTTTAGTATTCTAAAGAGTTAATTATGTGTGTTCTAAGTATGTAATATGTAAGTATGTAATATGCAGTAATATATAATACTTGATTATTCTAAATATTAAAGAGATAAACAATTTAATATTATAAAAAATACCATAGTATTTATGGATGAACATTTGTCCTCTCTGCAGCTTTCATGAACTTAAGAATTTTGGTCAGATTTATCCTTAGTTTTGATTTTTTTTTTTTTGTGGTGCTGGAAAATGAACCTAAGGCTGTATCTCTTTCACTGAATCTAAGATGTACCTCCATCACTGAGCTGCATCTCCATCACTGAGCTGTCTCTCCATCACTGAGCTGTGTCTCCATCACTGAGCTGCATCTCCATCACTGAGCTGTATCTTCATCCTAGTTTTGAGTTTTTACCCTTTAAAAAGACAAGGCTACACATAGAAACCCTGTCTCAAACAAACAAACAGACAAACAAAAACAACAACAACAAAAAAGAAGCCTCACTAATAAAAAAAAAAAATTCTCCTTTTATGGAGGTTTCAAATGTCTTTTCATCTGGGTTGACTTTTCCTGGCCCAACTACAACTTTATTTTGTCTTTGTGAAGGCTTTAAGAACATCTAAATTCTTTCCCAGTTGGCAAAACCAGAGGCAGTTTTCCTTGCTTCCAATGTATGTGTGTTGTTCATTTCTGTGGCTTTGGCATTTTCTCTCAATAAAATGGAGTTAGGGAAAATACACTCTTGCATACTGATGGTTTCATATAAGGACAGAACACAGCTAGAACACATTTTTAATGAATGCCTTCCATAGACAAATTCTGCCATCAGCCCTAGTACTAAGGGCTGGCCATGAGGATATCAAGAAAAAGAACTGGGTGGTTAAGGATGACCAGACAGCTGCATAAAATTGGGATTGGGGTTTTGGGGTACCTTGTGCTACAGGAAATTCTACTGTCCAAAGCTCTGCTTATCCAGATCCTCAGTTGACTTGAAGCTTCAGTTTCGAGTTGAGTACATTTTCCATCCATGGATTTGCTTGTTTTGTTCAATTTTACCTTGAGTAGTTAATGTTGTCTTTACGACGTAACAGCTAAACCCACGGCTTCCTTTCTCGTAAAACCAAAACAAAAAGGCTCTCTATTCAGGTGCCATGTGTTTGTGGTACATATATGCAGCACGTCCCTGGGATCAAAGCCGTCTATATATAAAGTGCTCGAATCTGTGTGGGTTCAAACACATTTCAAAGCTTCAGGATCCTGAAAGCTTTCACTCTGCTTCCTGAAGACCTGAACACGGTTCCCATAAAGCCATGGCTGGTCTTGGAGTCCAGAGGTGCAAGGCTCAACTGCAGCTGGCTTCTAGGACTTGGCCCTTTGAAGCCCTGCTTGCTTTTCTTTTCATCCCGACCGTCTCCAAAGGTGAGTGGCAACTGCTGGAGCATGGAGGTAGAGGGGGTGTTTTTCCTACACGGGTTTTCATTTCTTTCTGCAGCTAAGGACAGTGATTTGCAGAAGAGCCAGAAGTGAAAGGCAAATCTCTACCTTTGGGCTTGCCAGCTCTGTGTTCCAAGAAAGGTGGAGGGGAGCTCGCAGCAATCCAGGAGCAGAGACTACTCACAGCAGATGACTGGCATGCTGGACTGCCAGGGTTAATGACTCTGTAAGATGTTTGTTTAGGGAGAACAAGTTCAGATACATGAGAGATTAAAGTGGGGGAAAGACTTCTGAAATCCTGAGTATATTTGATCTTGCTATCAGAGTGACCTTGTGATTTGCCTCAAAAAAAAAAAAAAAAAAAAAATCCCACATACATTAAAATAAATAAGAATTCTTTCCCCATTCACTTTAAGTTTTTGAGACACTTTTAGCTCTTAAGTTACTATACCTAAGGCTCTGGGGACATTGCAGAAGAGGAGGCAGAAAGACTGTGAGAGTCAGCAGTGCATGGAATTTACTGTGAGAGTGTATCTCCTAGGAATGTCAGACACTGCACCCATAAAGTCTTACCAACATGACTGCCTGAACATGAACTTAACAAGGACATGAACAATAGACATGCCCAATATATGGAGAAAGACAAAGAGGCTTCAACCCTACACAAATAACTACAGGCAACTAAGGAATATGGCTTCCCTAGGGAAAAGCACACCAACTAGCTACCCAGTATCAATGGGCAACCCTGAATATATAATGCAAATAATATGTACAGAGTAGTTTGCATTTAAGAGTGCATACCTATATGTGTATGCATGTAAAGCAAATAATGGAAAAAAGGCCACGACTTTGAAAGAAAAGAAGGAGGCATATGTAGGAGGATTTGGAGGAAAGGTAGGAGAGATAATGCAATTATATTACAAACTCAAAAAAAAAATGAAAGAAGTAACAAAAATAAAGGAAAAATAAATTGGCTGATTATTTTAAAGATGAAATAGTTTAAAATTGAAAGAAGAAAGAAAGGGAGGATGCTAGGAAGGGAAGGAGGGAAGGAGGAAAGATGGAAAGAAGGGAGGAAGGGAGGAAGGGAGAAGGGAGGAAAACAAATAGTCTATTTGTCCTACATTCTTTTTATGTTTTTCATCATAAAATCCCTATTATGATATTAGGTGTAAATCCCTAATTTTCGGATGCAATAAGAGCTCTTGAGAAGCCAGTGTACCTTGAAATGCATGTATCTATTGGGCCCTCACTCTTTCTCTCTCCAGACCTTTTAAATGAAGAAGTTATGTAGTTTGTGTGAAACTTAGGCATAAATGATATTTGATGATTTTATTTTATCAAAGAAGCAATAGTTGTGTACATTTTCTTGTCTGAATAGGTCACAAAAACTTCAGTGTGGGAGAGAACTTCCTGAAACACTAGTGGGGTGTCCATGGAACAAAGGTTACTCAGAGAATGTCTCTAATAGCAGAGATGGGAGCCAGGCAGACACTGGCTGTCTCATAGGCTGTTGGAATCACCATGGCAACAGATGCTACCATATTGTTCAAATGTTATTCAGTACAGGTGCTACCTACTATATACTAATTAATGGCTAGGAGAGGGGTCTTGGAAACTAAGCTTGGAGTAGTATTCAAGATCATAAGAAGGAGGCCACTGAACGCTGGTTATTGTCTTGTTTTTGCAGTTGATGTTAGTAAACTGCCAATGACAATGTTCAGTTTTAAGTTTTGGGTTTGATTTGTAATATTGGGCAGGGCTGCCCATTGATACTGGGTAGCTAGTTGGTGTGCTTTTCCCTAGGGAAGCCATATTCCTTAGTTGCCTGTAGTTATTTGTGTAGGGTTGAAGCCTCTTTGTCTTTCTCCATATATTGGGCATGTCTATTGTTCATGTCCTTGTTAAGTTCATGTTCAGGCAGTCATGTTGGCAGATAGCAGCCAGGCAAGTTATGAAAAGATAGTATGACACAAACCCACTTTTAAGTTGAGTGTTGAAGGTACAGCCCAAGGCCTTGTATACTTGTATACAGCCCAAGGCACTCTAACACCAAGCTATATGCCCCAGCCCTTCTGCTTGTTGGAATTTGGTCTTTAAAACAATGTCTTGTTGTTTAGCTAAGGTTGACCTTCATCCCCCTGTGTGCTAGGATTGCAGGTATGAGCTACCAATACTAGGCAAACCCACTAATTTCAAATGACAAAAGTATGTTTGTATAGAGAGATGTGCTCTTCTCTTTTAGCATACAGAGAAGAAAGAGAAAAAAAAAACTCAAAGAACAAAGAAAATGTTAAGTGAAGGAGAGAAGGAAGGCGGAAGAGGTAGAGGGGAGGTAGGGGAAGCCCACGGAAGTTACCTGCAGGGTTGCCCTCTATCCTGAGAGGAAATGACCTGGTGCTCTAAGCTCTGAGGCTCACTTGTCTAACTTTATAGGTTATTCTACCACTGTGAGGCCAGGGAAAGGGTAACTAGTGCATTGGGCTGAGGTTTAACTGCTCCCAGTTGACATAGGTACACTTAAATAAGTAGGCAGGATATTTTGAGTTTTACATTGAGCGATGAGGCAAGGTTCTGCACCCCAAGCCCCAGAACTTCCTCTATCCACTCTCCTCCCTGCATGATACAGTCCTATTATCACTGCATAATGCTGGGGCTGGAAGTCTACCCCTCTTTCTTATTTCATGAGAGAGAAAATGAAAGAAAGAACGATTTGCCAAAATGACACATTTCATGAGAGCCAGGTCTTCTAGTTGCTACAGCAGAATTCTCCTTGCCATAGCCAACCATCTTTAAGAAACTATTCATCAGTAAGGAAATCTTGGAAAGTGACTGAAGACAGCTGGAAGATGGGAAGCAGGGTGCCAGGGTGGATGGATTGAGAGGCAAAGGGTAAGAGGGTGATGAGTTTGTTGAGAGGTGAGCTTATGGGAGCTCATACAACATAAACCTCCCCTGTCATAAAATGTGGTCTAATTGTTCCAGCCATGGATGACCATAAGTTTACTGAGTTACCTTTGACCTTTCCTTGACAGGCATACATGTGACCCAACCTTCAGTGGCATTGGCCAGCAGCCATGGTATCGCCAGCTTTCCGTGTGAATATACGTCTTCACACAACACTGATGAGGTCCGGGTGACAGTGCTGCGGCAGACAAATGGCCAGATGACTGAGGTCTGTGCCACGACATTCACACTGAAGAATACATTGGGCTTCCTAGATGATCCCTTCTGTAGTGGTACCATCAATGAAAGCAGGGTGAACCTCACCATCCAAGGACTGAGAGCTGCTGACACTGGACTGTACTTCTGCAAGGTGGAACTCATGTACCCACCGCCATACTTTGTGGGCATGGGCAACGGGACCCAAATTTATGTCATTGGTGAGCAAAGCTATTTCACTAAGAGCACCTCTTTGCATTGCTCTTGTCTTTACATCAAAATAGTTTAGTTCTTGGTTTGAGGTTCTTTGTAGTTAGGATTATGATTTATAGATAGGAATTCCATAGTAGATGGCAGTCTTGCTTATGACAAGCAGTTACATAACCATTATTCTGGCTGCAATAAAATGTATTTGGGGAAGTGTTTAACACTGCTGATAGTCTAGGACACTTGCTCTTTTAGAGCCATCTTAAAGTGCCCTTGTCCTTGTGACGACACTCTGGGGAAGTCACACATCAAACAGGCAGACTTCTCCATGGATTAACAATACCAGTTAGGGTTGGCTAGCAAAGCCTCGAAGCTCTAACAACTCCTCCTTTTCTTCTTTTTTTCCACACCTGAAGAAGTAGGGTCCCATATTGAAAACTCTTTCAAGGGGTTTGTGCTCTGTTTTCTGTTGCAGAACCAGAACCATGTCCAGATTCCGACGTCCTCCTTTGGATCCTTGCTGCAGTTAGTTCAGGGTTGTTTTTTTACAGTTTCCTGATCACTGCTGTTTCTTTGAGCAAAATGGTGAGTGTAGTGCTGATGTTGCTCCACAGTTAATGGGCACATCTTTAGTTGTACCCTACTGACCAAGTGATGGTGTAGAGTTGAAGCAATAAACAAAGAGCAGGAAGGGTAGGATAAAGAACACACTAGAACCCCATGCAATGGCCTTTGAGGTTTCAGAATGACTAATACTGTACGTGAGCATATTTGACAGTGAATGTTTGTGTGCTTCTGAGCAGGGTTTCAGTTTGAGTAACTGTTTGAACAACATGGGGCAGCTGTTTTGGTCTTCACCATCTTGGTTATGGCCCTAATGTTAGTAACCCTAGAACACAGGATTATGTTGGGCAACTACGGCTAGTTAGAACCACCTGGATGGATTTTTATCTTTCTCCTGGATATTTTTTCAGTGAAAATCATCTCTTAGTGCCATCCCTGTGCTTTCTTTGTTCAAATTGTAGCTACTTGTAGAATACCTGTCCCCATTATATTGTCTCCTTACTAAAGCGCCTTGACCTCCTCCCTAGCTCAGTGAATGAACGTCCTGGTTTTTATTTACTATATTAATAGTGAGAAGAGAGAAGTGTGGAATCAACTCTCCGGTCAGGGTTTCTAACAGTCCTTCTCTGCCACTGCTGTGTGAGGCTGGCTTTCCTTATCACACGTACGTCCTTCATTTCCCCCTTTCCCTCTTCTTCTCTTCCTCTTCTTCCTACTCCTCCATTTTTCCTTATCTCTCTATCTTTGTCTCTTGGTCAGTTTTGTCTCTCTTTCTGTGTCTGTGTTTTTCACACACACACACACACACACACACACGTACACTCACACAATTTTCATTGAGCCTCTATTCTGTTGTCCTGTCTTCTTTTTCATTTGTTGAAGTTGGGGTGATAGAAACTGGGAACTAATACAGACAAGGGGGAAAAGCAATAAAAAGCATAAAAGGAGTAGAGATGAGAAATATAGCTACAAAACAGGATATCATAGTCACCTTTAAATGTTTACAGTACATTGATTATTACAGACAGGATCTAGTCAATTATCTTGGGTATTTTGGGTGTTCTTGGTGAAGTTGTCTCAAAATATTTTCTCCCTCCTTTCCATTCTGTGAAAATGGTTGCTATTTTGCATTTGAATTGCTGAATTATTTATCGAAGGTAAATTTAAATAGCTGAATCAAGAAAAATCTCCCAGAGTTTATAATTCTGCATGTTGTTGTGGATGTTTATTTTTGCTGGTGAGGAACCCACTATTTACTGAGCCCTATTATGGTTGAAAATGACTTCTGTATTCTTTGATAATAATTGCTATTTCTTTTTGTGTTTTGGCAGCTAAAGAAAAGAAGCCCGCTTACAACAGGGGTCTATGTGAAGATGCCTCCAACAGAGCCAGAATGTGAAAAGCAATTTCAGCCTTATTTTATTCCTATCAACTGAAAGACCATTTGTGAAGAAGAAAGGCCACACTTCAATCTCTAAAAGCTCAGGCAATTTTGACTTTCTTCTGCTCTCCAGCTATTTTTACTCTTTGGTTTATTTTAAGGAGAGTGTGCATCTCCTTAATATGAAGCTGGATGCAAAATTCAAATTAAACATACTACAATTTAAAGCAAAGAACCAAGAACAGAGAGCTGGGATACTGCTGTTATGTCAGAACAATTTTAATGAAAGCGTCACTTGGAAGCACCATAAGAATATAGCATTATGATGTGGGGTCAAGGAAATGTTAAGAAATGGAACAGTCCAAAGAAAGGATGGGGGTGAAGGAGGGGGGTTATATTGTCCACACCTTGTATTTAGCTGTGAGATGTTTATGACTTAAATAATTTTTAAAGTTCCCTATTTTCTTTAACAAATGTGTAATTACATGAACATTTAAAAATGTATTCACACAGCTATATGATAGCCAGTGATTCCAATAGTTATAGCGTATTTTTAACTGATATTGTACATTGGTGTTTCATGTGCTGTTATGTATTTGCTGGTGGTTTGAATATAAACACTATATATCAGTGTCTTCCCACAGTGGGTTTGTGGGGAAGTCTTGTTGGGGAGCTCAGGACACTACTCCATCAGGCAGGACACGAGGTCCTACGTTAACTTGCTTGGAAACTGGATGCAGTGGCAGCTCAGTGCTCAGTTGTACTAAACTGGTGTGGACTTCAGCAATGGGTTTTTACACTCAGTTTTTTGTTTGTTTGTTTGTTGTTTCTATTTGTGTTTTCTTCCATGATTTTCAAGGAAACCAAAGCAGGTGGTGTCTGTGTGAACCCGACAGAACACTGTTTTCAAGGAACTGTGTCACTCATGAGCCCTGTAGGTCTGGTCTTCTAGGAAGCTCCAGTACTATGGCCCCTACTCCTCACAGACACAAAGTTAACACCACTGAAAGAAGAAATTAGCAGGAGGTAGAATGGGTACATGAAAGTTCCTGAAAACTAACACTGTTGGTGTTTTTTTTTTTAAAACTCAGTATTTTCCATGAAAATGCAACAACATGTATAATATTTTTAATTAAATAAAACTTTTGGTGATTGTGTTATGTAGCTGCCTCTATCAATCTTGCATTTAAGTGTTGTGTTTGAATTTGGTTTTGAAAAATATTTTAATTATTTGTGTCTGTGTGTGGATATGCACATGTGTGTGCAGGGTTCCCTGGAGGCCAGAGGTTTAGGATTCCTCTCTCTGGAGCTAGAGTTACAAGTGGTTGTCAGCTATCTGATGTGGGTCCTAGGAACCTAACTCTGACCCTCTACAAGAGCAGTATGTGATCTTCACTGTTGAGCCAGCTCTCTCGCCCCAGAGTATGGTTTTGATGGATTCATTCAGCACTTAGTAGAGTCTCTGATGCTGAAAATGCTTGAAACAAATTAGCTAAGTGAAAATGAGTAAATAATGTTTCACAAGTCAACCATGTACCAGCCATTGCCTGAAACCCATTCTTGGAAAGAACCTAAGGCTCTCCTATTGGGATATAACAGAGGCACAGCTGTCTTTTAAACTTTACAGGCAGCTCCCTTTATCCAGATTCTCCACTTCCTCTTCCTCACCCACCCTTTATTGTTTATTCAGTTCCTCTAACCCTGAATGCAGTTGCCATAACAACTTCCAGTACTGCTAGCCATTCCACCTCCAGCCATTTTGAATAGTCTTCATCGAGTCTTACACATGGATTATTTTGCAAATGTAGAGGAAACACACCTGCTATTTCTGTGTTGCTATTCGCTCTCAAGACTTGGGCCCACTGAAGTCTCTATGGTTCTTGGTTAACCAAGGTGTATCACCAGCCTGGTTGGTTTCAATTCAAGTTTCTCATTCTTGACCTCTACATCCTGTTATTGTCATGTGCACTGATCTCTGTGTGGTCATGGACCACCTGTAACTGTAACATTGGATCCCTCTCTGAAAACACTGATTCAGGCGCTCAGCCTTTGGCAGTCTGACTCAGTATCTTCGGATGACGAGTATGAAAATTTCCCAGAAGCACGTTAGGGTTTCCGGTTCTCACTATCACTTAGCTGGTATCCCTGACCCACCCCTCTGCTCTTTCCCTTGCTCACTCCTGCTCTTTCACACACACACACAGCACACGCCCCCCCCCCCCAAGTCCTAACAAAGGAGACAGCCCCATCATCAGGATTTCAAAAAGGAGTTGCTAAGTAAAAGCCAATAGGTGTTTCAATGGGAGGCTGTGGTTATTACTCAGAACATGCTAACTCCAACAGGGGCGACTCTGCTTCCTGCTCTCCTAGTCTTCAGTTGGTATCCATGATGAAATATGCAAATGTATTTCTGCTCCAGACACATCTTTAGACAAATTTCTCTTTTTCAGCAGTCAATAATATGTCTAAATGACCAAAGGGCCACAGACAAATAAGAGTTTTTCTAATAGCTATTTATTTATGAGGATAAACCCTTTGCTATAGTAATCAGAGAGGTACATTGTTCCAAAACCAGAGGACCGACCCTGTCATTCCTAACCACACAGCTGGGGGAACATGTTCTGATGAAGCCTAAGTAGTCCATGCATGAATGAAACAGTCTATTGTACACAGGAAGCACAGACACTCAGACATGAATGTGGATGACAGAAGAATAGAACAGAACTCCAGGAATGTAGAGCTGCCTTCATCTCCTTGCTTCTCCAGCACACGCCTCTGCTCATTTTTCCCAGTATGACAACCTCATTTCTGCCATTTCTAGTTTTCTATTTTCATCTCCAAATATGTTTTATCTCACTCTCTCTCTCTCTCTCTCTCTCTCTCTCTCTCTCTCTCTCTCTGTGTGTGTGTGTATGTACATGTGCACACACAGTATGTGAGTCAGGTGTGTGTAGTATATACCACAGTGTCTGTGTGGAGGTCAGAGGAGCCTCAGATATTGTCCCTTGCTTTTTGTCTTGTTTGAGACAGCTGTTGACACTGTGTGCCAAGCTCACTGGGCCATGACACTCCCATCTCATAGGATCACTGGGAATCCAGAGGTGGCTACCACATTTGGCTTCACATGGTTTCCAGTGATCTAAATCCAGGCCTCTGTGTTCACACAGCAAGGCTCTATCTGAGTCATCTTCCTGGTGGTCTCTGAATATCTAAATCCCCCATTCCCATATCTGCTGAGACCAAAGTCAGATTTTGCCTTCATCATTAGGTAACTGACACTTTGGTCCACACAAATTTCCTCCCTTTCTGTTTTACAGCTATTTTTTGTTTCATCTCTAATGGTTTTAAGTGTGCCTGAGTTTTATGCCTAGTTTGATTTGGAAACTTTCTAAGACAGGGGTCGTCATCCAGAGGTGCTCAAGCAAGTGTCCCAAAGTGCTGGGAAGCTGGGGTCTCTAGGACTATGGGAAGGATAGCTGTCTTCGACCAAAAAGCTGTCTGTTCCTTAGGTAGCCCCGGTCCAATCTCCTCCCCTCTGGTAAGCAAAGTCCTGTAGAGGTGACGTAATCTTGTCTTAAATCTTCAAATTCCAGAGTATGAGTTCCAACTGGCTATCCTGCCCACTACTTTCTGTATTTATGTCACACTCCCAAACATTTTATGGGGAGAGTGCTTTCTTTCTTTCTTTTTTTTTTTTCAAGGTTTAAATAGACTTTATTGTTACAAGGCGGACCCCACCAGGTAGAAACAATATATGTGGTCCCAGTTGCCACCATGGAGAAATCAAGAGGTCATGATTGCAGAAGAGGTGACTGGAATTAAATGGCATGATCTCAGGGGAGGCCAGTCAGGAATGCAGGAAACATGATCAAGATGGGTTGGCAAGAGTGGTCTAGTCACAGGATGAGGGGAGGACAGCTCTCTCTGTCCCAATTCTTGTAGCTCTCCAGGTGTGACAGGACCCAGCCCACAGGCAGGAGGCAACAGATGAAGCAGGAAGTGAGCCCAATAGTGATATCCAGGACACCAAGCTGCTCCCATGGCGGCTTTGAGAGTGGACCTGAGCCTTAAGCACCAGGAGGCGCTGGGCCGAGCCAGTTAGGACCCTCAACAGCAGTGGTGTCAGGTCGGACAGACATAACAGTGCAGAAAGACCAAAGACAAGGACCAGCAGACACCCTGGGCACTTTCAATTTTACCATCTTTCTCCAACTGTGGGCTACTGTGGAAGTCAACTAAATTTTTGTACTCAGACAGAGTCTTCTAACATATCCATATTTGATAAAATGCTTAGTTTAAGCTTTACTGGGATTGAATTTGTAAAATGTTGACCTCATTATGCTGTTAACTTAAAAATCTAAGGGATCACATTGGGAAGCCATAAATAAAAAGAGAAAATGGCTCTTGGAGAGTTGTTGCCATGGCCATGCTTCCCTTTTGCACCTAGTGAGGGTCATGACTCTTTAGAAGCCATGTATATATACTTTTTTCACAGCTTAAAACAACTTTCCTATATCCAGTCTAGAGGTATGAGCATGCATTGATGAAAGAGAGGAAAGTTTTCTTTTTTTTATGTTTACTTTGTTATAGACTATGTTAGACATTAGTAGGTAGGTTTGACACATTCTGTCATGAAACTACACACACACACACACACACACACACACACACACACACACACACATTAACCCACCACTACAGTAGCAACACAATACCCCCATTATACTCTATATTCATTTTGAGGACTATATCATAAGGACAGTTTATATTTTTAATGGTAGTGAGAATAAATTCCCTCATTTGAAGTTTTTGGGCAAGCATAAACTGAAATCTGTGGTCACTGTCATAGTTTTAACATGATTCTTGCCCCCACTCCAGGGCACACACATGGAAACTTTATCACTACTGAGTAACCAGCCCTGAAGCAGAGGCAACAGATTATCTTTCAATCATTTTCTTAGAAGTCAGCTCATTCTGCTGTAAATTGCACAAAGTCTTACATTAGCCCTTCTTGGAAATCTGTGTTCTCTGGGGGGTTCATTCTGTCACGGATGTCCTTACGTTCACGGTGCATGGTTGTCATGTGCAGCACTCGGGGGAAATGCAGATGGGGTGCTTCAGACCCTGATCCTCTCATCGACCAGGACATTCAAACACTCTCCTAGGTGTCTGAGTCACACTACCTGAAACCGTCCCACTCAGCATCCTCCCATCATAGACGACTACAACTAGAGGCAGCATTGTAAGTCGCCTTCAGCCTGTACAGCAAAATAAGAAGCAGAGAAACCAGGAAACTTCTCCAGAGTCACAGTGTGAGGCAGCTTTGAGCCAGTCTGGGAAGTCGGATCTCT